TCAGGCACCATGTTATGGCTGAATGGGCCCAATGGCCCTCAACCAAATCTACCTTGCAGTGTCATGTGACTGTGCAGGGTAGATCAGTTCAAGAGCCATGGGACCCAATTAGATCTAACACCAAATGACTGGGCATTACACATGAATCAGGTGATTCATGCAAAGTTACCACGGAGCTTCATATCTGGGCAGGGCTTTGGATGGTGAAGAAGACTGCAGAAGTCTCCACAGGAAGTGCAGTGCAAATACCCCTTTTGTACAGGCTCACTTGTCCATTGGTGTAAACAGATATCACTAATTTCAGAATCCTCTCCAGAATACCTGATCCAGCCTCTGCTGCCTCTTCATAAGTTCTTGTTCAAAGGGAGACGTCAGTTTCTTCGCCTCTTCTTCTTCTTTCCTCTGCCTTATCAGCTGGTTTCGTCGCCGATGCTCCAGGACTCGCTGCAGTTCTGGTTTGCTCTCAACTCCCACTCCTCTGTGGGGAGGCAGAAAATAGGTCAGTTAGCATTGCATTTTAGACACAAAGGGATACATACTAGGGAAAAATTAATCCTGGTTTATTTATGTACAATGGCCCTATACGAAACCCTGGAATAAGGCTGCCATCTCTTTCTCTCCCTCTCTCTTTGTGGCAGGGCTCCCATACCTTTAACATCCATGTTACACGTGGAAATTCAACCGAGTTTTCCCATTGCAACATCTGCTTTCCAAAAAACCCAACAACTTCCTCCCATTGCATTTCTGCACATAAATCAGTCACAGGAGTCGTACCAAGGTTGCCAAAAACCATGAGAGCCAGCTTGGTGTAGTGGTTAAGAGCTGCGGACTATAATCTGGAGAACGGGGTTCAATTCCCCACTCCTCCACTTGAAGCCAGCTGGGTGCCCTAAGGCGTCACAGCTTTCTCTCAGCCTAAAAATAAGCATAGCTTGCCCCCTAGTGGTGCCAAAAAAGAGCTACAGTTTCAGGCCGCCAGATAATCCTTAGGAATCTCCTGGCTATTCTACACACAATAGTATACGAAAACTTGATGTAATTTAATTTGCCAAAAAAACCCACCCAGAAACACGGAAGGGTGGTGAAAAATGATATGGTTCAATATTTGTCTGGCTTTCTTTCAGCCAAACAGAGGCAGAGGCAGAAGGTGATGGGGCTCTAGCAGCGGAAAGATGCAGAAGGGGATCTGAGTAGATTCTGGCTGCGTGGACAGAGCATAGTTTCTGTTCCCCACAGAAAATGGAGATCATAAGGGTCACAGACCTCTGAAAGACTGTGTATGGCTGTAAAACATTTTGGGAAACCCGGTCTAGTATGTTAGGCATGGTTGAATATAATGAATCCTGTATTAGTACAGACTGTAATCTAAAATAAAGTATTTCTAGACATAATATTCTATGACTGTGCTAAAATGGGTGCATCCTTAATATTTTGAGAACCCTGGACCAATATTCCAGGCATGATTGGGTAAAATAAATCCAAACTCTGTGGTAAAATGGATTTATCCATAAAACTTTATTAAACAGTTCTCATTTGAAGTAATAAGTGCATAATTACATATTTTAATGAAGTATATTTATTAAATCGATCACATGTTTATTAATAAAAAAAAATTCCATGTCCTTTTCTTCCATTTCTCCAGCAGAGGGAGGGATTTCACCAGTAATCTTAGGGTTGAATTTAGCATCAACTCTTTCAATGGTTACATTTGCTTCCTGCAGCTGGTTGTGTGCAACTACTCTTACATTCAGCCAGTGTGCGTGTGCGTTAAGTGCTGTCAAATCACTTCTGACTTATGGCAACCCTATGAATTGATGTCCTCCAAAATGTCCTATCATTAACAGCCACTCTCAGGTCTTGCAACCGGCTGTTGCTTCCTCGATGGAATCAATCCATCTCATGTTGTGTCTTCCTTGTTTCCTGATGCCTTCAACTTTTCCTAGTATTATTGTCTTTTCCAGTGCCACTTGTATTCTCATAATGTGATCAAAGTACAATAGTCTCAATTTAGTCATTATAGCTTCTAGGAAAAGTTCAGGCTTGATTTGGTCTAGAACCCATTTATTTGTCTTTTTGGCAGTCCACGGTATCCATAAAACTATGCTCTGACATCGCATTTCAAAAGAATCTACTTTCTTCCTGTCAGCTTTCTTCATTGTCCAACTTTCATACCCATACATAGTAAAGGGGAATATTATGGCATGAATTAAGTTGACCTTGGTTGCCAGCAACACACCCTTACACTTTAAGATCTTTTCTAGCTCCTTCATGGCTGCACTTCCCCATTTCAATCTCCTTCTGATTTCTTGGGTGTAGTCTCCATTTTGGTTGATGATGAAGCCAAAAACAAAAAAATCTTGAACAATTTCAAGTTCTCTGTCAACCTTAAAGTCATGTAATTCCCCAGTAGTCATTACTTTTGTCTTCTTGATGTTCAGCTGTAATCCTGCTTTGGCACTTTCTGCTTTAATTTTCATCAGTAGTCTTTTCAGGTCACCACTGTTTTCTGCTAATAATGTGGTGTCATCTGCATATCTCAAATTGGTAATGTTCCTTCCACCAATTTTCACTCTACCTTCATCTGAATCTAATCCAGCCTTCCTTATGATATGTTCTGCAAACAGATTGAAGAGATAGGGAGATAAAATGCATCCTTGTCTGCTACCTTTGCCAATTGGAAACCATTGTTTCTCCATATTCTGTCCTAACAGTGGCCTCTTGTTCAGAGTATAAAGTTGCGCATCAAAACAATCAGATGCTGTGGCACACCCGTTTCCTTTAAAGCCAGCCATAGGTTTTCATGATCCGCATAGTCAAAAGCTTTGATGTAATCTATTAAATGTATGCTGATTTTCTGAAATTCTCTTGTATATTCCAGTAATCAATGTAAATTTGCATGATCTCTAGTGCTCCTTCCTTTTCCGGATCCAGCTTCAACATCTGGCATTTCACATTCCATATGCAGTAACAGTCTTTGCTGTAAGATTTCAAGCATCACTTTACTTGCATGAGAAATTAATGCGATGGTCCAATAGTTGCTGCAGTCTTTGATGTCTCTTTTTTCAGAATTGGGATGTAAATTGAGCGTTTCCAGCAGTGGCATACCAAGGGTGGTGTGGGTGGTGTGGTCCATCCCGGGTGCAGGTCAGAAGGGGATGCCCAGAAGCCCGATGTCCGTATCAATTTAAATGAGCCCGGAAACCTCCCAAGGCTGAGCCAAGCACCCCCTGGTCAATGCCTGGATTGTTTTTCATACATGGCTACAAAAAACAAGGAGGACAAAGCTGCCGGCTACCACTGGGAGGCTGGGAGTTGGGCCTGCTGCTGGTACACAGCCTGCAGGGAAGCCAGACTGCACTACTGTTGTTCTGGCCCCAGCTCAGCATGTCACTGTGCAGTTTTATCACACATAGTATGGGGGGGGGGGGGAGGCGACACCCTTTTTCGCTCTGGCTGGACGTGGCCAGTGGGGTAATTCTGAGCCCTGTGTAGGCCAGACTGCTCCTGGGGCTAGAGGCCCGCCACTGCCCATCGTTCCTCAGAACCACTGGCATATTAAGTTGCCATTCACTTGCCTCACTGAAGCCTGGCAGATCACCTCAAGCCTTTCCCTTCAGTGCATCGACTTGAAAGTAACAGCCGCTGTTGTCCAAACTCACCAGAAGGAAGCCTCCTCTTCTCTCCTTTTCACAGAAGCAGCCATAAGGGCCTTCCAAGACCCACACTTACTTGAGTAAGCCCCACTGTACTAAGCAAGTCTACTCAGAAGTAAGTGCTGTTTTACTCAATGGGGCTTACTCCTTGGAAAATGTTCTTAGGATAGCAGCCTCACTTCAACAAGCAGAAGATCGGACCCTAAAACCTGCCTCTCTGGAGGCCCAGTTCAAAACAGAGCTGATTTTGCTGCTCTAGAAAATATTTGCTCCATTAATAGTATTGAATTCAGCATGGTGGATGTAGTCCCTTCTCTTGGTCCCCCTGGTGGCAATCCCAAGGATGCTGTCCAGTAAGCAAGTCCCACATGACTTACATCTGAGTAGAGTTATGGCTCACTGCCTCTGAGCCACCATGAAAATCCATATCCTCAAAATCCCTATGTTTGAATTCCTTTGTTATTCTTATCAAATATTTTTGGTAAGCCAGATGAGCATCATGTGGCGATTTCAGCCAAAGCAAAGTTTGAAAAGAAGGCATTTCTCTCTGTTAGGGTTGCCAAGTTCTTTTTCGTCTGGGGCGGGGGACTCCTGGACGGCGTCTTGAGCGCGCGCTTCACGTCAGCTGGAGGTGACGTGATGACGCCGGGCACGCTGGGGGCGGGGCCACAGCCATCTGAGGGGGAAACATAGAGTTTTCCCCTCAGATGGCTGTGGCCTCGCCCCCAGCATGCCCGGCGTCATCACGTCACCTCCAGCTGACGTGCACGCTGGGGTGGGGTTTGCCCCGGGCCCCGATTCCGCAGCGGCGGAAATCGGGCCTCCAAAGCGGGGGGAAATCCGCCCTCCGGGGGGACTTGGCAGCCCTACTCTCTGTTCAGGGTTGTTTAGACCCCAGTAGGTTCCTGAGTAGATCTGCTTAGTATTGCCCCGTTAGTGGTACATGCTTCCATGTAAACGTGTGCAGGATCAGGCTGCGAGTCTTCAGGGGCACAAGTTCTCCTGCACAAGTCCACTGAAGAGCATTTCACCTCCTTCCCAATTATTTTGGCTTGAACTGCCCAAGAAGTGCATGTTGCGCCTTAAATAACAGCAGTGTACGTACATACCATCGGGGTACAGGAGTCGTCAGCAAATCAAAAAGCCCTAATGGAAGAATTTACATGCTAACAGAGGCATCCCAAGCAGAGTTACACCCTTCTAAATCAATCAAAGCCAATGGGCTTAGAAGGGCGTAACTCTATTTAGGATTGCATGAATACCACCTGTGCCATCATCGGCTAGCATCAGATAAGGATGGTTTGATATTTTAAAAACAAAACCTCAAAACAGTCTAGGAAAAAGAAGGGGGGGGGGAAGCCTTAGATATTTCTGCTTAACCTAGAAAATGATTTCTTGGTTGCAGCTATTAGGCCAAAGGATTTGTAAAGTGAGCTGGGGGGACAGTACCTGCCCCGGAATAGCCAGGGAACAGTGTGGAAAGAAGAATAAAAAAGGCACAGGAGTGCTCTGAATTCCAAAATCTCTAAACTCCCCCCCTCCATAAATAGAGTTATCTGGTCATACATTACTATGCATCTGTATCTGTAGCTGACTGAAGCACCCACAGTAGCAACGCTGTGTCCCAGTTTAGCTGGATTTGGATGCCAGTGGCCATTACCTCTGATTGATTTCACCATCCTTCTGGGCAGGCATTCTTTAAAGGGCCAGCAGCTCATGGGAAGTTTGCCTAACCCAGCCCAGGCTGTTGCGTAGAAGAACTTCTCGCTGGGTCATGAGGTAAGGGGAAGGGAGATTCAAAAAGTTGGCTCCATTCCTATCTGTG